ATAAAATCTTTAAAATAAATAAATAAATAAATAAATAAAAATTAGAGGGAGAGGAAATTATTTGTCAAATACTTTACCTTATGAGGCACAATGACACCATCATGTGACTGTAATGAACGTTCCAAACATGGGGGACAAAGTGAACTCTCCCTGGCCTCTCCTTTAACATATTTAACATCGTACAGAAAAGAAATATCCCTAAAAATAAGAAAAATATATTTACAAAATATGCTGTCTGGCTACTGGGTAAGAGTGGGTAAGATCCACATACATCTTCTAGTGGGTGAAAAGGGGCACAAAACCAGTCTCCTTACTTCATACTTCACTAAGACAGCAGAAGCATTAGACAAGAGCCACCCCCACCCCATTATTCCTCTTCTCCACCTCATATTTCTCCTTCACATCACAAATCCTTTCCCTTCCTTCAACCTCGGGTGAAGATGTATTCTCTTCCCCAGGGTTATTTCCTCCACTGATGTCCTTGATTTCATCTTTACCCACATCCTTTGGGATCTCATTCTACCAATCTACTTTCTGTATATTTCCCCCTCCCTTGGAATATTCCCTTTGATCTATAACTCAAGTCTTTTCCCCTTCTAAAAGTCCTTCCTTGACCATGTTATCAGGATCTATCTATCAACCGATCTCTCACTTTCCGTTAATCAGATTTCTTGAAATTTCCCTGCAATCTAATTTCAATCACTATCTCTCTTCTGAAACCACTCTAGAAATCTGATGACTTTCTACTGCTAAGTCATCAGCTCTTCTCTTCCACTGTTTCCCTGTAATATTTCCCAGTGTTGATCATCTCTTTTTTAAAAACACTATCCTCTCCTCTATCTCTGTGCTACTGGACTCCTGGTTCTTTTGCCTTAACCTCTCCTTCTTGGACTCCTCTGTGACTTCCTGTCTACTAAATGGAAATGCCCTGCAACATTATGGCCTCATCTCTCTGTCTTCTTACCCTATACTTTCTCTCTTGGCAATGCCATGCAAATCTCACCTTATCACATTTGTTATCACATTTGTTACCTCTACATACACTGAATAATCCTCCCTCCATTCTAACTCTCCACCCTCCTATCCTCACTAATTCTGTCAGGAAGTACTACCACTCTATCCATCAAAAGCTCAGCATACATAATTGATTCCTTCCCATCCATTGCCCTAAATTCCCATCCACCACTAACACTTATTAATTTCATAGTCACCCTCATAGCATTCTAGCATTGACCCTGTTGTCTCTTGCCAATGCCAAATCACTAGTCCAAGCTATCCCTACTTTTTACGTGGCTCTCAAGTCTCTCTAGTACATTCTACACACTTCTGCCAATTCACCTTCCTATAGCAGTTATAATCACGCCACTTACTGCACGTGATTTTCACGTCTCTGCCCCTCCCCCAATTGTAATTGGTATAGCCATTATGATAAATAGTATGGAGCTTCCTCAAAAAAATAAGAAATAGAACTACCATATGACCCAGCAATCCCACTTCTGGGTTTATATCCAAAGGAAATGAATCTGGATCTTGACAAAATATCTGCACTCCCATGTTCAGATTATTCATTATTCACAATAGCCCAGACATGGAAAAAACCTAAATGTCCACTGATGAATGAATGAATAAATAAAGAAAATGTGTATATATAGACAATGGAATGGAATGTTATTCAGCCTTTAAAAATGAAATCCTGCCATTTGTGACAGCATGGATGAAGCTGGAGAACACTGTGCCAAGTGAAATAAGCCAGACAAAGACAAATATTTTATGACTTCATTTATATGTCAGATGAGCGCATGGGGAAAGAGGGGAAAATGAGATGTTAGTCCAAAAGTACAAAGTTTCAGTTATGCAAGATGAATGAGTTCTGGAGATCTAATGTATAGCACGGTGATGATAGTTAGCAATACTGTGTTATATATTTGAAATCTGCTAAGAGAATAGATCTGAAATTTAATCTGCTTACCACATGCTTACCACATGCATATAAACTCACAGATACACACAAATGATAATTATACAGAGTTATTTAGCTTGACTGTGATCTTTTTACAATGTATACATTTATGAAAACATCAAGTTGTATACCTTAAATATACACAATTTTTGTGTCAAAGATATATCAATAAAGTTTTTTTTAATCAAGTTTTTTTTTAAAAGTTGCTCTCAGGATGATGGGACATTAGTCACTATCACACCAATAACTGCTAGAGATTGGCCAATATAACTTTGTTAGCTAAAAACAATGAATGAGGGGCGCCTGGGTGGCTCAGCCATTAAGCGTCTGCCTTCAGCTCAGGTCATAATCCCAGGGTCCTGGGATCGAGCCCAGCATCGGGCTCCCTGCTCCGCGGGAAGCCTGCTTCTCCCTCTCCCACTCCCCCTGCTTGTGTTCTCTCTCTCGCTGTGTCTTTCTCCGTCAAATAAATAAATAAAATCTTTAAAAAAATAAAATAAAATAATCTGTTTTATTTCTTATAAAACTCTTGTGGTAAATCACCTGCTTCTACTCCTCTGGAAAATCTATTTTTATTTATAAAAACAAAAAACAAAACAAACTTTGATACCTACCCATAACACAAAAACTGGTTCCCCCAGATTATCAAACTGAGTTCATACTTCAAATTTTTCTTCAGATCATCACTGGCTATGTTCATAAATAAGCATGTCTTTTATCTGAAGTTGTCAAGGAATGAAGTATTTCAGAGAGATCGATTTTCCAAATAACTGAGGTATGCTTTAAAAAACATTAAGTCTTTCTAAAATGTATTTAAAACGTGGCATCTTTCTTAAACAGAGTATACATAACACAAAGTAATCTTTTCTTGACAATTCAGGTAACGACTTACGAAGTTAGAAGTGTCCTGAGGACAGTCTGGTTATGTTTCTGAAACCTAAGTCAGTACTGGAATATGGCAGGCCCTGGTGGGTGTTGGGTCGCTCTTTGGGTTGGAAGGGTTGGAAAGCACTTTCCCAGACACCCTTGCAGCTAGGGTTCTGGGTGAGAACTAAGTTCCGCAAGTAGATGCACATTTGCAAGATTTCAGGAGTGGAATTGCTGGGTCATCTGGTAAGCCTATGTTTAAATTTTTGAGGAACTGCCAAACTGTTTTCCAAAGAGGCTGCTCCATTTTACATTCCCACCAGCAATGTATGACGCTTCCGATGTCCCTACATCCTCACAAATGCTTGTTATTGTCTGCTTTTCGACTATGGTCATCTTAGTAGGTGTGAAATAATATCTCTTCATGGTTTAATTTGCATTTCCTTACGGCTAATGATGCTGAGCAGCTTTTCATGTGCATATTGGCCATTTTTACCTTCTTTGGACTCTTGAACTTTCGTGGCAACCTTGCAGGTAGTAGCCTGCATGGTAGGTTAATTCCACCCTGTTCTGAGAGTTATTCCCAAAAGTACTGCTTCATATTTTCTCCTTTAGCTCTCCTGGCAATTTTGTAAATACTCAATTTACTGTTTAAAATAGGTTTTATTGGGGCTCCTGGGTGGCTCAGTCGTTAAGCGTCTGCCTTCGGCTCGGGTCATGATCCCAGGGTCCTGGGATCGAGCCCCGCATCGGGCTCCCTGCTCAGCAGGAAGCCTGCTTCTCCCTCTCCCACTCCCCCTGCTTGTGTTCCCTCTCTCGCTGTGTCTCTCTCTATCAAATAAATAAATAAAATCTTTAAAAAATAATAAAAAATAAAATAGGTTTTATTTTCTGCACTGAACTCTGACTGATAAAGCTGTTGAAAAATATTACTCAGAGGCTATTTGCTGGGTTGTTTTATATTTTACTGCTGTGCTCTAAATATTTAAGGTTGCTAGACATAATAGTATTTATTATACTCTTAACCTAACTCTATAACCTCTTGTTATAAATACTATTAGTTATACATACATGTGTTAATCTTCTACTGGTGCCATAAAAATTACCACAAATTTAGCAGCTTAAGCAACACAAATTTATTATGTTATAGTTCTCTAAGTCAGAAGTCCAACACAGGTCTCACAGACTAAAATCAAGGTGTCGACAAGGCTGTATTCCTTTCTGGATGCTCTAAGGGAAGATCCATTTCTGTGCCCATTGGAGTTGTTAACAGAACTCAATTCCTTGCAGTTCTAGGACTGAGATCCCTGTTTCCTTGATGGTTGCCAGCTGAGGGCCATACCCAGCTTCTAGAGGCCAACAGTAGTTCTTAGCTTGTGTCCTCCCTTCCTCCATCTTCAAAGCCAGCAAGTGTAGGCTGAATTCCTTCTCTCTCATACTTCCACTGTGTCCTCCTCCTTCTCTGACCTGTTCAACTTCCTTCTTTTTCCACTTCAAAGACTCAGGCAATTAGGTTGGGCCCATCCCGAGAATCCAAGTTAATCTCACCATCTCATGGTCCTTAACCTTAATCACATCTGCAAAGTCTCTTTGGTTACGTAAGGTATGTATTCAAGTTCTGAGGTACACCAAGAACATCTTGCGGGGAGGCTATTATCCTGCTTACCACAATACAGATCTTCACAGTTTAAAAATTCCAAGTGAGAAGTCATTTGACATTAAAACTTTAATATTGGGTTGTTCCTGCATTCAGATATAGCTTATTATTTTTTCAAAGTACTTCAAACATTTCATAACTACTAATTATAACTAGTGATAATTATAACCATAATCTGAAGGTATAAAATAAAATACGATACTTTGACACCAAAGCCCCAGGACACAAAAGGTAATAGCCCAAGTTCCTGCCACCTTTTCTAGCACTGAGACATACCTGAGTAATAACAGCTTTTATTTATTTATTTATTTATTATAAAGATTTTATTTATTTATTTGAGAGAGAGAGAATGAGAGAGCACAGCAGGGAGTGTGGGAGAAGGAGAAGCAGCTCCCCGCCGAGCAGGGAGCCCGATGCGGGACTCGATCCCGGGACTCCAGGATCATGACCTGAGCCAAAGGCAGTCGCTTAAACAACTGAGCCACCCAGGCGCCCAATAACAGCTTATATTTAAATAGCACTGTACAGGGGCATCTAGCTGGTCAGTCAGTGGAGCACGTGCCTCTTGATCTCAGGGTCGTGAGTTCGAGCCCCATGATGGGTGTAGAGCTTACATACATACATACATACATACAAAGCACTGCCCATTATTTCCTTTAAAATATGTGTTTTACAATATCTCCGGGAGGTCCACAAATGGAGCAAGTCTATTATTCCCTTTTTACAAATGAGAAAATAGAACTCAGAAAGACTACCCGTGTATTAATATGCTTATTATTACATATTAATGTGTCATTAATGTGTCATAATATTACATATTATTTCTTTCAGATGAAGTGATATCTCATGAGGGGCATGCAACTGTGGACTACACATAGAAAATGAGCTGGTCACAATCTTCACAGGGAAACCCAGGACATTCATAATATTTTTAGGAATGACTTAAAAACAACAAATAGTATTTGCTGATTTGATCGAAAGGTGAAGCGTTCACTTTGAGAAAAACCAAGGAGTAAGCACTTGCTTTTCAAGGTTTTCATGAAGCTATGTTACCTCACTCTTCTTAAATGTACAGATGAAAGAGGCACTATGAGACACTCTGCCTCTGGGATCTTGTCCCTTTTACTAGGGTACAACAAGGGACAGAAGAGTAAGTGGACAAGGACACAAAGGCATGCATAAAGCAAATCTTAACAAAGCAAAAGCCAGTAGAGTTAATAATCCTACACACAGAAGGGTGGTCTTGTGTCTTCTTCAGATTGTTTTCTGATTCATCAAAGATACTGTAAGCTTCAAATTTAAAATCTTTGATTCTATGATTTTTTCAACTGTGCCCCTCCCAAAGAAATGAGAAAAAATGAGAAAACAACTCTATTCATCGGCATCTACCCTACCATCTGCCTTCTTTACCTTCCAGCACCAGTTAAGGAAACAGGATGGTCAATCAGGTATTTGAACTTATTTCTTCTGATAGGGTGATACCAGACTTGGTCAGCCGGACGCAGAAGTGTACCCTAAGAAAAAGCAAATACATGAATATACAGCAGAGGGAGCTCTAGTCAAATGAAATCTGTTAATCCTTTGGAATGTTTACATTAAAGGCATTTGGATAGTCTATGGAAAAAAGAGAGAGCAGAATGCTTAATCAATACAATGGAGAAAAACTGAAACTGGGACAATTCAAAAGTGAAAGAAAAATATCAAGACTGACAGTAGTAATAATGATCACTTAGGTAAATCACATTTTAAAAAGCATTTCCTTGGAAACACTGTTGCAAATTATTTTAGTTTTCATTCTAGGAAATGAATTTTAAAGTATTTTGAAAGACAATCAGGAACATATGACACTGGGACGCCTGGGTGGCTCAGTCGTTAAGCGTCTGCCTTCAGCTCAGGTCATGATCCCAGGGTCCTGCATTAGGCTTCTTGCTGGGCAGGGAAACTGCTTCTCTCTCTGCCTGCCACTCCCCCTGCTTGTGCTTGCTCTCTCTTTCTGACAAATAAATAAATAAAATCTTAAAAAAAAAAAGGAATATATAACATTAAAAAAGAAACAAGCCCAAAATGAAGTCACTTGTGCTAAGCCTCACATCAGCAAACCAACACTTAACACCTTACCTAATGGCAGTTGTGGCATCTCCCAAGAGTGGCATTTTAAGCCAATCAGCTGGAAGTTCCTGATCAGCACAGAGAGGTAATCAGCCTGATAGGCTCCCACCCTTCCCCAGAAGATGACCTTGCCCAAAATAACCCTTTCTTCTGTTTCCTTGTCCCTGCCCCTTTCCGCCAAAAACAGCCCTCTATTTTGTATAGCTTCTCAGAATTCCTTTCCACTTCCTATATGGGATGCTGCCTGACTCATGAATTGTTGAATAAAGCCACTTAGAGCCTCAAATTTACTCAGTTGAATTTTGGTTTTTACAAGAACATGCTCAATAAATACCTAATGAACTGGATACCAAAAAGACATATGTTCCCCAGTTCTTCGTATAGGTATATACTCACCTTTGGGGTTTTAGTTTTCTTAGGGGGCAGTAAGTTTTCAGGACAAGGACCAGCATTGGCTGCATAGGTCAGAGAAAGAAGAACTTCCTCAGGGATGAACTCATTCTGAAGGGATGTAGGAAGGGGTTTTGAACGATCCACCATATTTTTTTTCTCCTTTAGTTCAGGAAGTACTAAGAAAGTAACAGGAAAGAAAAACTTGCTGCAGTTTTTTGTAGTTAGTTGGAAATTCCCAGGCTGCTTCATCAATACTACCTGTATATTTCTAACAGAGCAAACACTGTTTCTGGTTGCCAAGAATAGTTAACAGTACTGAACATCATCTAGTCAAGAAAAAAATGCTCATATTGCCTGCCCTCCTCACACTTTTAACACACACAGTTTCAAAAACTGAGGCACAAAGATGAACCTCCATTATTCCAAATTCAAAGCTGAAAATTAAACTCACATCACCTGCTCAATTAAGTGGAACAGACTTAAAATGACTATTTTCCCTTTGATGTGAAAAGGACAAAAGAAAGTTCCCCTCACAACTGTCAAATTATTTAGTAATTATTTCTATGTAAATCCAAAGGTGAGGATAACTGCATTAATTGGGGCATTTTTAGAGTGGAAGGGATCTGAGTTGGGTTTAAGAGGAAAAGCAGAATTAGGATTGTTGGAAATGAAGAGAGTGGAATAATCTGAGCAAACTGGCAGAGTCAGAACTGTACCAAGAGTGTTCTATTCAGCCTGAGTAGGGCGGAGGAGTTGTAAAGACAGGGAATGGGAACAAATAGGTAAAGGCCTCCTGTGAAATCAGTCAAGGAGAGTGGGGTTGTGGTTCTTACAGAACTCTCCACTAATCTACGCCCTTCACAAAGTATGGCTTATGTTAATGATATATTTTTGGAATGTTGGTGAGGGGCGTAGATTAGTGGATTAACAAACTCAACTTTGTTTACATTTCCTTATGCCTCTGTTTCCCACATCACTCATGGAAGAGAGGGTGATGTTAGGGCTCCAGAAAATTGAATTATGGGTCTCTGAAAGTTAGGCTATTGATAAGAATGCTTTTTCCTTGTAAATCACTAAGACATTGGAAAACTGATGGAGACTCATGTCTCGCGGGACTGTGATCTCTATTAGTTAACCGTTTGTTTTTCCATTCCCTTGGCTTTAGGACAGCCAGCAGTACCTGAGGAATGTCACACACATCCCACCCAGGAGGGGGGCTGGGAGGATTGTGGGCTGTCAGCTTGTGCTTTGCCCTCAGCTTGCTTTCTGCTCCCTCATCATTAATTTCTATAAGGAGGTATCATGCCTTCCTTGTTCACCAGCAAAACTTCTGAAGTTCACATTACCAAATCTCTTTATCTCTTGAATATTTGAAATGGAGTTAAATATCACAAGAAATAGGAAGAAAAAAAAAGCTGGGTGGGGCTTTAGCACAATCTCTTCTAAAAAAAAAAAAAAAGATGAAGGTGTTGGAGGGAGTTTTGACATAATGGGAGTAGGGATGAGTCTAGCTGATTCTTATTCTAGTGCAGATCTGCAGTTATCTCTAGATGAATGAAAATCTTAAGGGAATTCTTGTCATTTAGATATATTGTTAAAACCTGATACAAACTGGTTCCTTAAAGTCAGAGCCCAGGTACCAAAAAAAGTAGTTTCATGCAACTACTGGAACTTAAAATAGGGTGAATTTAAAACTATAAAACTAGGGGTGCCTGGGTGCTTCAGTCTGCTGAGCATATGACTCCTGATTTGGGCTCAGGTCATGATTTTAGGGTGGCGAGATCCAGCCATCCCTTGCACTCTGCACTTAGCAGGGGGGTAATGCTTGGGTATTGTCCCTCTCCTTCTGCCGCTCCCCCCACTTTTTCTCCCTCTCTAAAATAAATAAATCTCTAAAAAGAAGTTTTAAAGCAATATAAAATTCATCATCATTTGAAAAAAATTAGTCTTTAGGTGGAGTAGTGAGACAGGACTCTGACTCAAAAGTACTATAAAAGGAATGGCTTTTGATTTTATTGAAACAAGTGTATTAGAAAAACGAAACTAATTAAGGTATCCTGAAGTCTCAGACTCAGGGGAACGGGGGAAGGGGCTGTGAGTTCCATCCACGGCCGTGATTACTTGTGTCTGCGGGATCCTTGAAGAACTTTACCTGTCTCCTCCTTGGATGCAGAGACTCTTAATTTCTTGCCCTCAGGTGTTGACAAGGAGGTTAGCAATGTGGAGGACGTTTTCGGAAGAGACATAACAGTCAAGGCCTCCTACCACTCGCTTTAGTAATTTGAAATATCGCTCCAGAAAGCTATCATAGAAACAAATCAGCGGCGTACTGGGGTCTGGCCGTGCCGCCACACTGTCCTGCAGGCAAAAAAGAGAGAGATCCATTTAGTGCTTATGTTAGGATCAGAGTTTATAATTCATCTAGCTTCGGTTTTCCTTCTTTGGGGAGCCTTCTGTGTTCTCTCAGGTCACCTGACGCGACTGAGAAGCCTGCTCGGGCCCCCCACCGACCGCCGGCCCCACCCGGAGGGGGTCCCCGGCTCCAGACGGGGAGCTCGGGGCCGAGGCCTCGCCCGCACGCAGCGCCCTGGGGCACAGCAGCTCCGCGGACTCGGGGCAGGGCAGCGTGGGCGCCGGGTCCGCCTCAGAAGTGATGGGAAACAGACACAACTGCTACCGGTAAATTGTGTTTCCCGCCAGACAGCTGGGCGCCTCGCCCTTTTCCGGAGCGCCTGCGTGTCGTCATAGAAACCCAGGACCCCGAGCTTTGGCCGCCCTCACTGGGGGCTGTCTTCAGCGGTGCCGGCGGAGGAGGGGGACTGCTAAAGACTCCCAACACCCAGGGATGCGGTGGTTTTTCACCACAGCATAGGTTCAGCAGCAATAGAGAACAAACATACTTAATCGGGCCGTTCTCACGGAGTGCGCAAGTGACTCGATCCCGGCGCTTCCGCCCGCAGGTCGTCGCCAGTGCGCAGGCGCCAGCGGGGGCCGGGGTCGCTCTTCCGCCCCCGCGGACTACCTTCGGGGCACCCGGCGCCAGATTGGAACCAGCATCTCGGAAGAGATTTGTTTTTCCATTACTCTCTCCCACTTTTTTGTTATTTTTCCTATTTTTCTAAAAGCCAAATCCAAGGCGAAATTAGGTAACCAAAAGCTCTGGGTTCTCATCTGTTGAGGCTTCCTTGCGGATGCTGCCCCTGCCCTTGACCTCTTGGTTAAGTCTTCCTTGGGCACTTACGCACAACCCCCACCCCACCCAGCACGTTCAAGGCATTTTTACGTCGAGGATTTTTTTTCGCTGGAGGCAGGGAAGGAGATTGCGCTTTAGGCGGAGTCAACCCAAGTAAAATTGTTGGGGCTTCCCAGAAACCTGTTCTCAGGGAAGAATGGGATAAACAAATTGGCAAGGAAGAGCTGAAATCCCGCCCCTTGCCGCCACCAGGGATCATTTTCTGTTAATATGGAGCCTTAGGGCGCCTGGGTGGTTCAGTCGGCTAAGTGTCTGCTTTGGGCTCAGGTCATGATCTCAGGGTCCTGGGATCCAGCCCCACATCGGGATCCCTGCTCAGGGAGAGCCTGCTTCTTACCCCTGCTCGTGCTCACTCACTCTACACTTGTTAGAGCCCTAGCAATATTATGAACAAATTCCCTAATACCGCTCACTACCTTAAAAAAAAAAAGATGGAACCTTAATGCCAAATAGTACGAGTGGAATCCCAGTGTCTAGATGACTCTAGTCTGGCAAATAAATTTTAGAAGGGAAGATAACTTGTTCAACCGTCCTACTCCTTAGGACCAAGCACAGTGCCTGGCCCAAACTACCTGGTGTTTGAAAATCAACTGGACAGTTCTATTCCTGTGCTGATGGATTTGGTCTCTGGTTTCTGATTTTCAGGATAATAGCAATGATAATAGCAACGAAAAAATATGAGCAAAGTGTTAAAAATAAAAACACACAATCTTGTGTGCCTGGGTGGCTCATTCGGTTAAGTATCTGGCTCTTGGGTTTTGGCTCAGGCCATGATCTCATGGGTGGTGGGAGCTCTGCAATGTGGGGGAGGGAGTTCAGCGTGAAGATTCACTCCCTGTCCCTCCCCTTCCCCCTCACGCTCTCTGTAAACACACACACACAGAGTCTCTATGGAGGTCAGCTTGAAGATTCACTCCCTGTCCCTCCCCTTCCCCCTCACGCTCTCTGTAAACACACACACACA